TGTATCCATGGCTATGAGTTGACTTTTATTGGCCATGTAATTCTCCGGGGGACAAGAATTGTTATACCCCAAGCACTTCGCAAGAGAGTCGTTAGTTTGGCACACGAGGGGCACCAAGGAGTCACAAAGACAAAGGAGAGACTTAGAACAAAAGTCTGGTGGCCTGCTATGGATCGTGATGCCGAGAAAAGATGTGCAGAGTGTTACGGGTGCCAGATGGTTACAAAGAACGTTCCACCCCCACCATTGAAGTCAACACCGTTACCCAACCAACCATGGGAAGAAGTAGCTGTGGATCTAATGGGTCCGTTACCTTCTGGGGAACATTTGTTAGTTCTCGTTGATTATTACAGCCGGTGGATAGAGGTTGATGTTATCCGAACAACTTCCAGCAAAACCATCATTCATTGCTTGAATGCCCAATTTGCAAGACATGGGTTGCCTAAAGGTCTGCGTACCGACAATGGCTCAAATCTTGTATCTAAAGAAGTAGAAGATTACCTGAATGAAATGGGGATTGATCACCATTACACAACACCTCTATGGCCAAGAGCTAATGGTGAGGTAGAGAGGCAAAACAGGTCGCTTCTGAAGTCCATGAGAGCAGCCCATGCAGAAGGAAAGAACTGGAGAGAGGAGCTAAACAGGTTCCTTTTGGCATACAGGTCCACGCCACATTCAACCACAGGAAAGAGTCCCGCCGAGTTATTGTTTAGGAGAAAGCTGACAACTAAAATGCCTGAGCTAGTCAATGTTGAAGAGGAGGAGGTAGAAGTGAGCGACCAAGCCGTTCGTGATCGGGACAATCAGAGAAAGCAGTTTAACAAGGACTATGTGGACAAGAAGTTCCATGCCAGAGATCGAAATGTGAAAGAAGGAGACAGTGTTCTGCTTGAGAAGAAGAAAGAAAATAAGCTGTCACCTTGCTATGAGAAGGAACCATATCAGGTGATATCTCGTTATGGGGACCAGGTGGTGTTGCGATCGCCTCAAGGTGTCCAGTACAAACGCAGCCTTCAGCATATTAAGTCCTTTAATATGCCAGATCTAGAAGAACAGGAAACGCCACAACAGGACGCTAAACCACGGACTGAACCTAAGTCATTTGAGACGCCACCTGTGGCAGAGGATCAAGTACCAATGGCTGAATCACCACCAGAAGATGTACCTTCTACTGTACCTACAGCTGAGCAGCATGTGAGAAGATCCGGCAGAATTACGAGCCGTCCAAAGGCTCTGAGTGACTACGTTCTGTACTAAAACTAGTGACATTGGCATTTTCATATTACTGTTCGTTGTTATTACATGAGTGACATTGAAACGTTGTTTTATAAGCTGAACGGCCAAGGCTATGTTTATGTTTAGCGTGATTTTTGTCTTGAACATTTGGAATCGAATTGAACTTTTACGGTGTCTAAACAAAGTGGAAGTTTGTAATGTTTCTGTCTTTCGAGGTCAACCATCTAAGCGAAGAAAGAGAGGGAATGTAGTATACTAGGACAGCGGTTGTTTATGTAAAAGTATACATCCGGGAAAGTGTGAGCGCGGGAAGATTATTAAAGAAACGTGTACTGTGTGTACTGTTGTTGTTCGCCTTCGTGGCTGCCTTTTGTGGCATACTTCTTCATTTTTAGACACTACAGGAGGTCAGTGGGGCAACGAATATTTTTCGCCTTTCCCCATTCCCCACCTCTTTTCCCCACCGTTGACTCTAACTCCAAATAAAATATGGCAAGTTTAATAAACGATTGCACGCTTAATTCGCCCTAATAAGATGCTTGCACTAGAGCCTTTATTATTTTATTGATTTGTTACTATTATTATTTTTCTTTATATTCCCAATTTTGTCAACTATGAACCTCTATTTTTCGGAAAAGTATCCTGTTGCATACTCTGTTGCCTCACAATTATGACAAATTACGTTTGCTTTGGAGGTCAAGCGGTGGTCCCGCGCCAGGAGCAGTTGGAGGGTTTGGTGGTGGGGAGAGGGATCACAAGAATATGGTGTATTAGGCACAGGTGGTGGGTTCTCAGGGGAGGCAATGGAACCCATGAAGAACAAGCTGGAGTGAATGCAAGCTCTCATTGCAGTGGCGAATATTGCTCAGGTTTAATTGGAGGAAACTCGAATGATGATGATCTTGTACAAATTGCCGGATCGCTAGGCTTAATCCTATGGCGAGGTCGAGGTCGTTGGCCGAGGGCGATACTCAACAAAGAGGACGCAGTTTGTCCAAAAGGCTTACCGAAAGTGTACTTGTCGAGTAAACGTCGCTCACCGTTTTATAACGAACAAGTTGTTAGGGATAATTGAATTCAGGTATTAAATAAGGGAAAGTTCCATCAATTAATTCAAATGTAAACAAATACACTTTTAACTTCAAGAATTACTTTCTGTTTTACTTTTTGTTGAGGCTCTTGGCAGTATTATAGAATTAAAAAAAAGCATCCTTTTGTATGAAAAAGCCCTTAAGGTTTTTGTTTCTTTGTGCGTTTGAATGTTTGTTTTTATCTCTTATTGGTTCGCTGGTGAAGCCTATTTTCCCTGCGTGACAGGCATATCACGATGGCGACTGATGAATTAAAGCGCGAAACGTAAAAGTTTGACTGAGGGGATTTTTTTCTTGTTTTTTTAAAGATGATTCTAGTTAACCAAGAATTAATTAAGACATCAAATTTTTTTTAGCGTTAAATTCCTATAAATCAACATAGATTACGCTTTGGACCCTATGTGGCCATTTTTAAAGCATTTTAGAATACATGGTACGCTGCAGTTAATAACATAGGGGTAGTGATGTAAATAATAATGATAATGGTAATGATAATTATTCAAACTCAATCCGCCGTTGGTTCAATTTTTTGTTTTATCGAAGGGGTGACTGATATAGGAAAACATTTTCAACCATAGGAAAATATCTTTTATTTCTATTTCTGTGATCTGTTTTAAAAAATAAAAACAGCTTAATGATACAGAAATATTTGATGTGGAAAATGTGTGCGTCAATGATGGATAATCTGTGTTTATAATTTGAGTACTGGTGCGAAAAAAATAGAAATTTCGGTTGCTGAATAATGGCCATCTTTTAGTATGCTCCTTGGGGATCAAATTTGGGTCAAAAAGTCTTAATTTGCACTTGTCCAGTCATTTCAGTTATTTTTCCATGTAGTCATCAGCGCTTCCTTCGAAAATAAAGTAAATTCTCTTTTCTAGTTTTGTTAGACGCGTGTCTTTAACAAATTACGTGACGGAAATTCTTGTCTTAACTTTGAATTTATTCCTAAAAACTACAATTAAAAAACAGCTGTAAAAAGCTTAGCTTTTCTGTGGATTAATTTTCTGCTGCTTACGTGGATAAATTCGATCGGGCAAAGTGTAAAAGTGAGAAGGGACCATCAATTTTCACGTCAGTTTGTTCCTCCCAAAATCTTCCAACTAATGATAAACGAGGTAGGACACACTTACGTACATCAAATAATGACGACTGAAACGTTACTTAGTATACCATGACTGTGCATAACACGTTGACTCGTGTCAACAAAATTTCCTGCCTAAAGATAAAACCCAACATTTTTCACTTACGTCAAGATCCCTCCAGTTACTGTCCATATAAGACATTCCGAGAGAAAAAAATGCAATTTTAGTGTGCTTAATGTTGCTTTACTTGTTACACTTGTGATGACTGCCCATTGCAGAACACGGAAAAAGTGCGGCCCACTGTAATGAAGTCAACGGTGCAAAGCAGGAAGCAAAATCAGGAACGAGAAATCTGGTGTCGGAAAGCGTGAAGCAAGAACAACGGAATGTGCTCTCAGCGTTGCCTTTTATTTAGCTAGCAGGCGTAATTTTGGCGGGCGAGTGCTCAGTGTTATCTTTGACGTTTTTAAAGCAACGGAAGGCTGGACAGAGAAATAAATATTTACAAAAGGCGGCGAGCGAGCGGCGGTCAAAAAGAGAGGGGAGGTCAGTGGGGCAACGAATATTTTTCGCCTTTCCCCACTCCCCACCTCTTTTCCCCACCGTTGACTCTAACTCCAAATCAATTATGGCAATTTTAATAAACGATTGCACACTTAATTCGCCCTAATAAGATGCTTGAACAAGAGCCTTTAATATTTTATTTATTTTTTACTATTATTATTTTTTTTATATTCTCAATTTTGTCAACTGTGAACCTCTATTTTTCGGAAAAAGTGTCCTGTTGCATACTCTGTTGCCTCGCAATTATGACAAATTACGTTTGCTTTGGAGGTAAAGCGGTGGTCCCGCGCCAGGAGCAGTTGGAGGGTTTGGTGGTGGGGGAGAGGGATCAGAGGAATATGGTGTATGAGGCAGAGGTGGTGGGTACTCAGGGGAGGCAGTGGAACCCATGAAAAACAAGCTGGAGTGACAGCAAGCTCTCATTGCAGTGGCGAAGATTGCTCAGGTTTAATTGGAGGAAACTCGAATGATAATGGTCTTGTACAAATTGACGAATCGCTAGGCTTATTCCTAGGGCGGGGTCGAGGTCGTTTGCCGAGGGCGATACTCAACAAAGAGGGCGCAGTTTGTTCAAAAGGCTTACCAAAAGTGTATTTGTCGAAAAAACTTCGCTCAGCGTTTTACAACGAACAAATTGTTAGGGATAATCGAATTAGGACTGAGTGAAAGTTCCATCGATTAATTCAAATGTAAACAAATACTTTTTTAACTTTCCGAAATACTTTCTGTTTTACTTTTTGCTGAGGTTCTTGACCGCAATATAAGAATACAAACAGCATCCCTTTGTGTGAAGAGACCCTTGGGGTTTTTGTTTGTTTGTTTGTTTTAATCTCTTATTGGTTAGCTGGTGAAGCTTATTTTCCTTGCGTGATAGGCATGTCAAGTCGGCGAATGATAATGGTAATGATAATTATTCAAACTCAGTCCGCCGTTGTTTCAATTTTTTCGTTTTATTGAAGGAGTAACTGATGTAGAAAAAATATTCTCAACCATGGGAAAATATCATTTATCTTTATTTTTGAGATCTGTTTTAAAAAATAAAAACAACTAAGTGATACAATAATATTTGACGTGGAAAATATCTGCGTCAATGATGGGATCATCTGGGTTTATAAATTGAGCACTGGTGCGAACAAATGAAAATGTCGGTTGCTGAATGATTTTCACTGCAGCATTTTATCGGTTGTCCAGTCATTCCAGTTATTTTTCCATGAAGTTATCAGCGCTTCCTTCAAAACTAAACTGTAAATTCACTTTTCTATTTTTGTTGGACGTGTGTCTTTAACAAATTACGTGACGGAAATTCTTGTCTTAACTTTGAATCTATTATTAACAACTGCAATTAAACAACAGCTGTAAAAACCTTAGCTTTTCTGTGGATTAATTTTCTGCTGCTTATGTGGATACATTCGATAGGGCAAAGTGTAAAAGTGAAAAAGGGACAATCGATTTTCAGGTACTTAATGTGGTAGCTTTGCTGCTTTCTCATCTTCTTGTAATTAATTATTCTATCCCTCTTGCGGTAAGAATCTTTTATTTGTTCTGTGTATCGCAAAATAACTTCATTGCCGCTGCAGATGTCGATCCTGTTGATGATGTTGTGTCTGTTTTGTATTCTAACCGAATATTTATTCTACACTATTTATTTCTGAAAGGTATAGTTTGTTGTACAATTCGTTTTATTTTCTCAACAATGCATTTGCTGCGACGTGGTTTCAAAAGAAAGGATAATGAAATGATTGCAACATGGTACTTCTGTAAAACTGATCAGAATTTAATTTTTCTCCATGAACATTACCATAATGTTGCGTAAATTACTGACGAGAAACAAGAACGACAATCAATTCGTAAAATGTTCAAATGCTTAGATACATATGGAGATGTAGTGGCAAGATTGTCGGACTCATGATCAGGAAAAACTCTACGTGAGACTGTCTTCTTTGTATTGATGTTTCACATTTAAACATTAAGTAAAAAGGCGGCGAACAATTAATAAGACGCGAAATGTAAAGGTTTGATAGTGGGAATTTTTTTCCTTTCTGTGAGCCAAGAGTTGGGATATTATCAACTTTTTCAGTGTTAAATTTCGATAGAACAACCTGGGTTACACTTTGCACCCAATGAGGAATTTTAAAATTATTTTAAAACACGTGGTTTGCTACAAATAAGAACATAGGAGCAGTAAATGATAATGATAATGGTTATGATAATTATTCAAATTTAATCCACAGTTGTTTCCCTCTTTTGTTTTGTTGTGGGGGTTTTCACCTATGTAAAAAAATTATTTTCAACCAAAAGAAAATATCATTTAGGTTTTAGATATGTTCAAAAATATAAAAAGAACTAAGTTTGAGTGTCATTGATGGAATCATCTATATTTATAAATTGAGTTCTGATGTTAACTAATGAAAACGTCGGTTGCTGAATAATAGTCATCTTTCGATATGGCCATTAGGTATCAAATTTGTGTTTAAAAGTCTTCATTTTTCTGCAGCATTTCATCAATTGTCCAGTTATTCCAGTTGTTTTTTCATGTGATAATTAGCGCTTCCTTCCAAGCCAAAGTAAATTTTCCTTTCTATTTTAGTTGGACGTGTGCGTTTAACGAATTACGTGATGGAAATTCTTGTCTTAACTTTCAATTTATTAAACAAAAAACAAAAAACAAAAGAACAATTAACAACAGCTGTAAAAACCTTGCTTTTCTCTCGATTAATTCTCCGCTACCTATTTGGATAAATGCGTTCAGACTCGTAAAGTGGAAAGGGACGATCAATATTCAATTACAGGTGCTTAATGTAATAGCTTTGTACCTTTCCCTTCTACGCTATGTAGTTGATTATTTCATTCCTCTTGCATTGAACTGATGCGAGTAATTTGTTCTGTGTAATGCGAAAAAACTCCATTGCTGCCACAGACGTCCATCCTTTTAATGAATACGTGTTTGTTTTGTACTCTAATGGAATATTTATTCTTTGCTAGTTATCTGTGGAACGTATAGTCTGTTAATATTCGATCGATCCATTTAGTGTCTTTAGGTTCAATAAAATCACAGAGAAATTAGTCTACTGTGCATTTACCTGCATGGTTTCAAAAAAAAGGTATGAAATAACTGAAATATAGCACTTCTGTAAAACTGATTAGAAGTTTATTTCTCTCCATGAACATTACTACAGTGTTTTGTTAACCACTGGTGAAAATCACGAACCACAATCAAATCGCTAAAATGTCGAAATGCATGGAAATTTAGCGGTAAGATCTTCGGACTCTTAAGTGGAAAAGTCTGCATAAGAGCGTCCTCCCTGAATTAGTGTTTTGCATTTAAAACGCATACCGTAAATGCAGAAAAAAAAAAGAGGAAAATTTGGCGGCTAACTTATTGAGCCAAGAATTTTAAAGTAAAATTCATTGACAAATGTCAGATCAGAGATAAGAAGCAGTCAGTTTGTGAACCATGAAAAATATAATTGCAGGGTGAGGGAATTTTCGTATGAGAGCGAGAAAAAAAACCTATACAACTCAGTTTGTTGAGTGTTCCAAAATTTCTAAATGCAACCCTACATTTCCTGTTCAGAAGCTGCAAAACACCAGGCGGAAAGTGAGAAGCAGTTTATTTGTGATGACATCATCTCCATTATAAATATACTCGAGAACTTGAAAAAAACCGGATTGTTCTCAAATCTACTCTTAATTTTAATTCTGAATGCAAAACGAGACAAAATTAAACACGCTAACTTTACTTCTACAGAAAGCAGACTTAAAACACGTGATGATGATAATTTCAGTGGCTAAGTGGAGTTTCATCCTCTTTTTCTGTAAGAACCACAGCTAAACACGACTGTTGTCTACAGTATAAGCTAAAATGATAGGCATTGTGATTTGTTGTCTAATGGGAAGGAACGGAGCCCAATAGGTAGTCGTCGTGGGAGGGGAGGAAGGGTAACTTGTTTGGAGAGGTCAGGGAAAGGGCGAGCAAAAGGAGGAAAAGAGGAAAGGAAGAGAGGAGAGTGGGGCGGAATGGGGACTCAAGCGTATGCTATTTAACTGTTATGTTATGTTCATCAATAAACCACTTTCCTTTATCCTCTAAAACACTTCACTTAAGGAAAACTTACTTGTAAACGAAAATCATTCAGAAGTTCCATAGTTGGAGGGGGAAGCTCAGTTTTGCAGAAGCTAGCTGGATCTTAATCAGACTATCGAACTCAAGCCCTGAAAGAGGAATTCTTCTTGGCTTTTGCAAATGCTCTAAGGAAAGACCAACTTGTGAATTTAATTTAACATTTGTCCTGTATTAAATTTTTAAGTTGTACGGTTACCCTTGCAGTATGTTTGGGAATGGTACGATCCTCAATTTGCTGTTAATGTTTGGAATCGTCAGGGCATATGGGGAGGTTCTTTCCTGCTCGTTTGCGTACGTATGTAGTGGACTGTGCAGAGTATTGTAACATAAGATCTCTTCAATATAGTGGGGTCTAACTAGTGGTTTTAGAGTGCTTGTACACTGAGAGGAGACCTTGGGACTAACATGGCGGAACTTGACATGTGGACCTCCTCTTTAGACTTTCTCTTTTTCTTTTCTTTTATTGGGTCGATATCATTTAACATTTATTTATGGTGTCTATCACTTTTTTGTTGCTGTTGTAAACTGAGAAATTTACTTGTCGCATTTGTTACAGTTTTGTTGAAGTATCCTCAACAAGCCCAAGGGTGGAAAAGAGTTCCCTCGTTTTGGGATTCACATGGTCTTTCCTTTCAAAAAGGAAATTACGTGGAACTAAACTTTACTATACACAGCTGGTCATGGGTTTCGGAACCTTGTGTTCAGGGTTATTATCTTGAGATCCGTGATGGCATTAATCAGTCGGCCAATGTTCTTGATGTGTTCTGTGGAGATCACAAAACCGCTATAGTGCGATCCAGTGGACGATACATGTGGTTAAGATTTTTCCCTTCTAGGGAGTATGATTTTAGAGCATACTACAGGGCAAGATCCTTCAATCAAACAGGTATGATGTTCTTTGGCAATTTTCAGTATAAGGCAAACGGTTAAAAGCTTTAGATTCAACTGGAACGTCACGATATAGATCAAATTATATTCAGGGAATGCAACGATGGCCCTGCAGCATGTTGAAGTATTTATAAGTTTATCAAGTAGCTTTATAATTATGATTAAGTTGAGATGGAACGCCCGCTCTCGTTGGTTGAAAAAGTGTGCTCCTTCTGTGATTAAAACACGGAGCAGAGGAAAAGCTGTCTCGCTATCCGCCAATTTTTACTATATCTTGCTTTTAATCCATTAATGAAAGTGAAATTTCGGAATAAGCGAGCCGGCAAGTAGCGACAGAAAAGCCAGAAAAAGGTTGTAAATATGCCAAGCGCCGTAATTTGCATTCCTATAACGCGAGCAGAGACGAAAAGAGAAAACGAAATGGACAGTCTGAGTTTTAAAGATTTTTACGCTCAGTTCGATCGTAAGCGGCTGATGTAACGGTAATAAAAATCAAACACAGCTAACGCCCATATTATATACATAGCTTCGTTGTAGGAAAACAAAAAACAAAACAGAACAGAACAAAACTGGAATGATGCAAAACATAAACAGACTGACAGAGATTTTAAAACTCATGCAAATCATGTCGATGTCAATGCGACTGCGATCATGCTGGAGTTGATCGCAGCTAGCTCATCACGGCAGTCTCTGATAATTGCAGTGTAGCAAGCCTCAGAAATTACGTCGCCCGCCCTTCGAGTTAAATGAACTAAGAGCCTGCTCTGATATCGTTTCTGCTGCTACATGTATGAGTGGAAGTCCACATCAGTCTCAGCAGCTGAGTTTTATGGCGCTGTCACCCCGAGCAATCTTCGTGTTCCTGTGAATTCGGCTGCCGTTCACCCATAGACTTGCCAAACTATTTCAGGTTGTGAACTATTGCAGATTGTGAACTTTGATGGTTTGACATTTTGACAGCTTAAGAGCGAATTTCGTTTAGTTAACCGAGTGAAAATCGAAAAATGTTGCACACAGTCGAACGTTAAAAACCTTGTTATTTTTCGCAGAGATCCCTTAAAGTGAACTTAGAAATTTAGACTTGCTTCTTTCTAGATTATTCACGAAAACTGAAACGGGCGTCGGTAGCCGTAAAATGACGGAAATCAGTGCCTCGGATATAAGCAAATGAGCTTTGTTCATAATAAACGCAAATTAAAGAAAGCAAGCTCGTACCAGTTTGATATTTTAGTATAGGAAGGATTGAGGTGTGACTCAAGTCTTAAACGGGACCATTTCATTTCATTTGGAGCTCATGAAACGCTTTCTAAAAATAACCAATATTTCAATATTTCACCCAAATATTCCAGCAGACTTTCAAAAATCGTTTTCCCTATGCGGTATAACTTGGAATCAATGCATGTTCGACTCATAATAAGTGGAAATTGTTTTGTTTTAGGAGATGTAAAATCAGTTTACTGCTTTTCATTTCCGTATGGAAAAACCAGTCTGAACGTTGTGAAAATCGTAACATCGTTATTTACGTTGCGACATAATTTCAGTGGTTAAATCCAGAATTCTAAGCACATTTTAGCGGTTAGCACCGTGTTTGATTAGGCAATTAAAACAGTAGGCTAACCTCGCATAGCTAACGACGGCAGATTGGTTTTTATCCGTGTGACTACCGTTTCATTTCCGTTTTAATTTTATTTCCGGTTTTACGTTACGTTCGTGTCACGTGACAATCTCTGGCGGAATTACACATGCTTTGAGATTTTTTGGGGAGAGTTTTGTCTTCGCGTAGTTGTTTTGGTCTGCAAAACACTTCTTTAACGTGATTGTGATCGTGATTGTATTGCCATCGTTATTGGGATTTCTCTTTCTTTTGTACGTTATCTTGGAACGCTACACATGGATTAAAGGCGAAAGCTACATTCCGTGCTTTCGTTTCTAATTCTCGTCCATTTCCCATGGCGTAATTGTTTACAATAACACTAACTTAAGCTAGCGGAGGGCGTCCGTTTTTCTTTGCAATAGAACCGAACTCACTTAGATATTAAGAAAGTTTTAGGGTTAAATTGATTTTAATTGTGGACTTGAAAGACAACAATTCAATCATTTATACGAATAGGTAGAATGTTCTTTGCGAAGACGTCGAAGACGGGAAGCAGTCTGATACTACTCCAGATTTAACATACTCAAGCGTTTTTCGCGCAAGATAGAAACTATTTCAGTCGCAAAAACACGTTTTATTGTTTTCGACCATGATAATAACACTTTTGATTAACTTGCTGATTAAATAGTAGAGAATATGTTTCTTGGAAGAGTGTTTCAAACGATACATCGGCGTTATATCCTGTGGTATTATTTTAACATCGGCGACAAATCGTTCAGCTCCTCGCGAATCATCGTTTCCCTGAGTGATATATCGTTTGAGCTCAGTGATATATCGCCCCATGTAAGGTAATTCAGAATCCGGAATCTAGGTCATTTTGTTCTGTGGAATCCGGAATCCATGGCTTTGGAGTCCAGAATCTAGCTAATGAAATCTGGAATCCAACCCTCATTGTAATCCACAATCCAGGTTGCTGTAATTCAGTCTGTTGTGATGGTTCCAGGGCCTCTTATCGGTCTTTGTCAGACACCCTTTCGACCGGGCTTTTCGACTTTTTTCCCCGTTGCGCTTTTGTAGTCGGAGGTTTAGATTCTTCTCCTGCTTGAGCGCAATTGGAACTAATTTTTGGATTTTAGGTAACTTCAAAGAATAATAAGATGAAGTATCCTTATTCCTGGCCGTAGTGTCAATATAATTTGGATATATCAACAAAGTTGAAATGGTAAATTGGCCACCATAACGATTACAAAGGCTGACGTTTCGAGTGTTAGCCCTTCGTCGGAGCGAATAGTAGTGTCAATAGTCGCGGTGGTTGCAGTTACTGGCTTCTTTAAGGCACATGTCATTAGTATCAACATAGCGCTAACTCACCGAAAACGCTTCAATATGGCCTGAGACGCTCGGAATCAACAAAGAAAACAACAAGGGAATAAGGTAAGCCCGTTTTATTTCAAAACAAGACATTTTTTTCTCTCTTTTAAGGCAAACCGATAACATCCCATACAAACCTTTATAAATATAAAACGTTACCCAACACGGTAAGAGTCACGTCCGCTCTTCCAGTAGTGAGCTTGGGCTGCCTGTGCTTCGAGCAGTTATTATCTGTCTGTTTCGATCATGATCAGAATCATGAGCTAACTATCTTACAAATTTATGTATAGGAGTCCAAGAAAAAAAGAGAGAAAAGCGGAGAAAGAAAAGAAAAGTTCAAGGTCTATGGAGTTGTCGTTGTTTCTTCTGTTCGTGTTCTCTGCTCAACAAACGGTGATTGAGCAAACACTTAATACTGAAGCGTTTCTGTGATCAAAATTGTATTCGAAGGTGACAGTGTTTCCATACCTTTTACGGAAATTATAATAAAATCGAGCAGTTCATCAATGAAACGAACATATTTTCTAAAGTTTTTGTCGAGGGTCGAGGCTCGAGGGATTCATGTCGAGCGCGAGGGTAAAATTGTCGAGGGTCGGGGGTACCTCTTTTTTTTTTACTGATAAAGAAAAATTAAACCGAATTCAACTAAAAATATTTTAAACTGATTAAAGAAAAAAAGCATTTTTTTAAGATACGGATTGCCTCAAAAATATAGCGAGTGGGGGAGGTGTGACGTCTTTATAATTGGTTTCACAACATGGGGAGTAATTCAGCTGTCAAGGAAACTCTCCTGACATCATGTCTTAGCTCCAGACAATAAAATTTCCCCCGGCAGAATTGATCATCTACTGACCTCTAAGTTAAAACACAGATAAAAACGGCAAGCAAAAGTAGGCACCATAGTTCCACTCCACTTTTCAGGCTTCGTAAGTTTTTACGTGAGAAGTGATTGGCAGCGGCTCGGAAAAATTGGAATACAAACCTTGGTGGCGATTTCCGGTGTCGGTAATTTCAGGCCTCATGGGTATTGCAGTGACAGATGGTGGAACCGTGTTCTTGTCCTCCAGCAAAGAACACGCACTGTTCAGCTTGAAGGAAGAGGAGATGCTTGGCGGTACAGAAACCCTAACAAAAGTGTGTGGAGAAACTGCAGGCCATCGTGATCGTGTCCAAAGTTGATGGAACAAGCCTTCTACTTTATGCGTATATGGAAACATTGTTTTCGTATGCGATACCGGTAACAAAATCAGTAAAAATGTTGACGTCAGCAAAGGGACTGATCCCCCTACAAAGAAAGATGTCCCAATATGCAAACGTTTTCCGACTCGACAAAAAAGCCAAAGAAGAGGACTTACCACGTACATTTGAAGGTCATGTGAAGTTTGTCGAGGAGTTGGTTGCATTTCTCTCTAACCCCGAAGAGAAAGCCCCGGAGAGGACGGGCGAGCGGAATACCAGCGGTCCCAACGTGACCATACCTCGATGCGCCCGACAATCCTTCCTCATAGTGCTGGAATCGCTGACCAGCTTTACCAACACGCTAACGGAGATTGGGTCAGTAGTCACCTTCTAGACAGGATCTGTTTCGAAAGTATGATAACTTTGGGCGTGGAATGCTATTTCAAAGAGATGCGAGCAGACCACGACATGCCTACAGTGGCTAACCACGCTTACAGAAGAGCGCGCTGAGTGGAAGACGATATCCTGCGCATTCATCAGAAGGATTTCTCATACTTCACTGGGCCCAATTCATTTTATCCAGAGAAAATTATCAAAGGCGAGCCCCCAAATATCAAGAGGTGACCAAACAAGCAGTCAGCAATCCCTGAAGGAACAGGTAGCAAAGAAGAAGACTCAAGGTGAGAAACTGTGATGCGAGAATTTGATGGGGAGTATGGAAGAGGCGTAAGACAGGAAAATATCCTCTCAACAAAACCCAAAGAGCTAACTGGCACCCTTCCTTATGCCCTTGGTATGTGTCCCACTACCATTACAGCCTCGTTAGAGGAAAGCGAAGACGTAACGACAGCCTG